ATTTGCCTAATTCCCAAGAAAGATGCAATGGAAGAAACATCGGATTTCAGGCCCTTTAGTCTAGTGGGCAGCCTCAACAAGCTCATCTCTAAGATACTCTTCAACCGAATCCAACCCTTCATCAACAACGTCATCTCAAAACATCAGTTCGGCGGGAAGAAAGGCAAAATAATACATGAAACCTGCCTTATCGCCAATGAAGTCATCGATAGTAGGAGGAGAAGCGGAAAAACTGGTCTAGTCATAAAACTTGACATTGAGAAGGCTTTTGACACGATAAACTGGAAATGCATCCTCAAGGCGCTCACATGCTTTGGATTACACCATAGGTTTCTAAAATGGCTGGCTGGCATTATGTCATCTTCCAGAATGTCAGTTTTAGTCAATGGCGAAGCAGCGGGCTTCTTCGGTATGGAAAGGGGTGTCAAACAAGGTGACCCACTCTCTCCATTTCTGTTTAGTGTGGGAATGGACATGCTGTCTTTTATGCTAAAGAAAATCAATGAGGCGGGCCTATTGAATGGATTCTGCTTTGATGAGGTGGGACGACGAGGAGAAGTAACGCATCTTCTATACGCTGATGATGCTGTGATATTCTGCGAAGCCACGGAGGATGAAGTAACGAATGTACTTGCTGCCCTGGTATGTTTTCAGACTGTTACAGGTCTCAGAATAAACTTGGAGAAGACCCGAATCTTTCCAATCGGCGAAGTCCAAAACATAGACAGGCTAGCTAAGATTCTTGGATGTGATTGGGGGTTCCTTCCAACTCTCTACCTGGGAATGCCGCTTGGGGCTCACCCGACGTCACCTGCTAATTGGAATCGGGTTGTCATCAGAATGCAGAACAAACTAGATGGCTGGAAAGGGAAATATCTTTCAATTGGAGGAAGAATTGTCCTGATTAACGCAGTTCTTGCTAGTCAAAGCAGTTATATGAGTTCTTTGTTCTTTGTCCCTATGAGCACAGTTAAGACGATGGAGAGGACCCAAAGAGAATTTCTATGGTCTGGAACTCAAGATAAAAATAAGTTCCACTTGATTTCGTGGGAATTATGCAAGACTCCTAAGAGTCGAGGCGGACTGGGGCTTCGGGATATTCATCTGCACAACAAGGCATTATTATACAAATGGCTGTGGCGGTTCGCAAATGAAAGGAAGAGCTGGTGGAGAGAGCTTCTATCCCTTAAGTACTCAAATCCGAATTCTGAATGGAACAGCGGAGATGGTGCTGGAGGATTGGGTTGCAGTCCCTGGCTACAAATTCTCAAGCTAAAAGATGACTTTTGGAAGATGGCCCGAGTAGAGCAAGGAAGTGGAAACTGGATTTCTTTCTGGTTTGACTACTGGATACAGGGAAAATGCCTCGCCAAAGAATTCCCAAGGGTGCTTGCTGCCGCCGAATCCCCGAGTGCTCGTGTTGCTGACCATATATCCTTTGTGGGCGAAAATATTGTGTGGGAAATTCCATTGAAACTTTCTCTTCGGGGTGGGGCAGAGAGGGAGAGGGAGCGACACTTTCGTTTATTGGAAAATCTATCTGTTTCTGAATTTTCTGCAGGTCCAGGAAGAGTTATCTGGAACCCCAACCCCTCATTTGGGTTCTCGGTACACTCAGCCTACGAGAAGCTGGTTGAAACTACTCTTCCGGGGGGAAGATGATTTCCCTTACAAATCGGTGTGGAGACACATAATTCCGAGCAAGATCTGTGTGTTTGTGTGGTTAATCTATCATGGCAGAATCCTTACCATTGACAACTTAAAGAGAAAAGGACTTCAGCTTGCAAACAGATGTGTGTTGTGCAAAGAAGGAGAAGAAGCGATCAACCATCTGTTTATATTCTGCAGCTTCTCATCTGAAGTTTGGCGCATCCTCCGAACATTCATACCAATTGCAAGAAGGGCAGACAGGGATGGTGACATGAAAGACAGAATAAGAAGATGGATGCACAATAAACCAAATAACCCGACCCAATGGTGCACATATGCCCTCCTACATGCGTTTTGCTGGAACATCTGGTTCGAAAGAAATTCAAGGACATTTAAAGACAGCGAATCGACGACACGAGTTGTAGCCTACAGGATTGGACGCGCGATAACACATTGGCTGACTGCTGCCCGCGCAGTAGATAGAAGAACAGCTGAGAGCTGGCTCTGCGAGATGAAGACCCGATTGATTCCCCCCAGGTCAGGCCAACATGGAAATCAAGATCACCAGTGCCACGACGATCAGAGTATGATGCCCAGATCACTTGGCTGAGCGCAATGTGTCTCCTTGGTTGCGGGAGGTTATGGATTTTTCAACATTATAGATAATAGAAATGGGTTGCTGATGCGCTGATCTGTTGCGCGATGAGATTTAGTAGTTTAGGCAGTGTTTTTTCTGCAAGATGTTTACCTGACTATCTGCTGTCCTTGTGGCGGGAGCCTGTTCCCCTGCCTTTCGTTTTGTTCTTCAGACTTTTGTTGTATTTGCTTGGTTTCCTTTAATATATATCATAAAAAAAAAAAAGAGAGAGGAGGATATGGTGACTAAGAGGGTGTTTAGTCACTTGGCTAAGCCCCTCTCAGCTATTAGATCTGGACATATCAATCTGACGGTTAAAAAGTGAGAAGGATTTTTCATTAACGATAGGGATAGTTTGGGTATTAGGAAAAATTACGAAGTATACAAACTAGACTTACAAACAGTACACACCATACAAACATACGAACAATACAAACTAGAGCGACAAAACATACAAACCAATTTACAAACAATACGAAACATACGAACTATACAAACAATACAAACTAGACCGATAAACATTACAAAACATACTAAAGTACAAAATGTCACTACTTACAACACAAAACAGTAAACTTGTATCAACAAATCAATGAATACAAAGTATATAAATCACAACATAAAAAAATACAAACTAGACAAACAAACATTACAATTTACAATGTATACAAATTAATCATATAAACATTACAAACATAATTGATAAAAATGACAAACTAGAATGATAAACGATACAACCCGAATTGATACAAAATCACAAAACATACTTACAAACATTACAATATCGTCCGGAAAACATAACATAACACCCGCTGTCGCCGGAAAATCCCGCTGGAAAATTCGTCGAAAATCATCTCTCTCCGCCGAGGGAATTAATCGACCGAGTGGGACAGCTCTGTTAGTGGGCCAACATATTTTTATTTTAATAATTAAATAAATAACTTGTGTAATTACTATATTGTATTTCATTAAATTAGATTAATCTTATCCATTGAATTTTAATGAGGTGAAAGGGTTGAGATTCACTTACTTATATAGTCACCCGATGTTTAATCCTAGGAAAGAGACTCATACCATATTGTTGATTTTACAAGGACGAAAAATCGAACAAACAGGAAAAACTGCCCACAAAATCACTCTAAGGCGTAGTGGCAACACTAAAATCAGAGTCATACTAGACGGCATTAGGAAAATGAATTTGGCTCTAAATTTGTAGATGTACATAGATTAAGTAATAATAGGTCAAATAATCGTGGAATCGGTTTGGTCCAATTTGAGTTTATTTTGGATTTATCCACGAATGGCGTTGATAGAGTTTTCGTGTCCACCACCACTGCTCGCTGATCATCAAATCCAAAGTTAATTATTGAGTTTGACAGTAAACCAAAACCTATATATAGGAGGATACACATATATGTACTTACTAAATAAGTGAATGATGATAATTCCTGTTCTTTTTCTTTTTTTGCAATTTAATTTGTTACGAATTGAGGCCATCTCTTATACGTAAACTTGTTTATAACTTATAAGAGAGAAGGGAACAGCAGTCAGAGAATGGGAGAGGAATGAAATTTCCATAAAATGGAAAAATAAACAAAACGAGATCACACATGCAAGAGCCGTGCGCACGTAGGTGTATGTCTCTTCATCATGAATATGAACTCTTTCTTGTACCGAAAGATCGACCGGAAAAACCTTCCTATCAAAAGTGAAATCGATATTTTGTAGTGGCGTATCCAGACTTTGAATTGACTGATGGGGCGATCCGGTCCTTCAAAATGTTTTAAACACTAAAGTCTGTTTATCTAATGAACTTTTGATCATTGATTGGTGGTCCTTAGATGAGCCAACATCGACGAGAATATGAAGTCCTAAATTCGAAAGATCGATCATATATACTAAACCCCTACGTATCTAAACGATTTTGTTTCCCCCGGTATATCCCGATCGAATGGGTTCCTAGGACGACTCTCTCTCCTCAAGAAGTGGCTCCGCCACTAATAGGCGGTAATGAACACCAGAAAAATAGCCGAACCATATTTTCACCATAAAATACCCTACAACTAACTTTTTCCGGTACGATATTTCAATCCTTATCGTTTCAGTGTTATTAAAGCCGAGCCGAGCCGCTCGGCCCGACCCGACCGGTAAAACCGCCATCCGGTTACAAAATTGGCTCGGAATAGTCTAAAAGTCGTTCCGGTTTTATGTAGCGGTTGACGAGCAGCCGAGGGGGTTAACCGCTCGAGCCGCTCGTCCGATTTTTTCCATTCAGCCGTTAAATTTAATTAAAAAAATTTGCAAAAAATTAAAAATTGAAATAAACCGAAAACGTCGGGCTCCCAAACTGAATAATCCTTATTTCCATTTTACACTTTCGAAGGAAAGAGACGAGCTCTGATTAAGAAATGTCCACTATTTATACTAATAACGTTTATTAGGTGTCGGTTCTCTAACTGTTTTTAAACGGTCTAATGTCGGTTGGACTGCTAAAATGCGAGCCGTTCGCATTACCGAGTTATGGTTCGGTTCTGACAATATTGATTTCATCCCATACACTACATCCCGCGTCGCTTTATAAATAGCCACCGTGCTCACGAAGAAGTAAACAAATAGTCACCACTCACCACCAACAATGAAGCAGCAGCAGCAACAGCTGGGTTTCCGCAAGGCCTTGCTATCGGCCGTAGTTTTAGCGACCACGATAGCAATCATGGCGCAACCCACCGTCCAGCTCCAGCACACGGTTCGCGTGGTGAACCAGCTGAGCAGCGGGGTGCTGGCGGCGCACTGCAGATCCAAAGACGACGACATGGGCATCCACCGCCTCGACGTCGGGGGAGTGTTCAAGTGGAGCTTCTGGCCCAACTGGCCGCCACGTGTCTTCGGGTACACGTTTTTCTGGTGCGACCTGTCGGCGGACGGCAGGGGAACGCTCAAGTTCGACGCGTACGATGGGGAGAACCCAGATACCAGCATGACCGGCCGCTGGGAAGTTAGGGACGACGGGGTTCACACCGTCAGCGGTTCCGGCGGCGGTTACTTTCGTCATCACTTCAGGGTTCCCTGGAGGAAACCGTGATTGATGATGATTGCTTTCTGAGTCTCGTTTTGTGTGTTCCCGTTTTAGTTCAAGAGCATTTTTCTTTTTTTTGTGAGAGCTTAATACGCATATGTAACCTTTTTTTTTCTTTCCTAACCTCGTTTCTTTTATAGATGTTATCACATTTACTAACACACTTTGTCAAGTAAAACCCAATTGATGTGGCTTGAAATTAGCACAAACCTGATTATCATGTGCTTATTATATATGGTATCTTAATTAATTTGAATTATCATTTAACTATTATATATAAATATGCCATTTTTTTACCATGACACTCTTCCTCCAAGTAGAAATAAAGTGTTTTTTTTTACTAATTAGCTAAAATTTGGTGTAAATTTTGTTCTTAATATTGAATAAGTACACTTATGTTTTTTAGTGGATCGTACACATCGTTGTTGTTTGTACGTAACTCGTTATAAAATTTTGAATATGTCAATAAAAGATATATAAATTATACAACAAACATTTGCAAGGCCAACCGGTTATTAATCAAATGCCCCATAATTTTTATTCTCCATTAATTATTATACCTAATTTACCAATTTTACTCCCAATACAAAGTGGGTCCCCAATACCCACCCCTAACACTCTAGCCCCACATATTACGAAGGAACAAAGTCGCAAAGTTGTAGACGAACTCTCGAAGTATATCATCGTCTATCTATATGAAATCATGAGTTAACTCTCATATCCCTGGATTTGATTGATCGATATTCTCGAATAACATGTACGATCCAATCGATCCTCGAATAATGGTTCCCCTGCCACGCATATATATTGCACCGCAGTAGTTGCGGCATAAGCCCGATCGGGTGTTGGAATGCAGGCCCAAAAGAGTAGGTATAAGGCGGGCCCAGCCTAATGTTGCCCGTCGTCAGTATGTCTGTTTATAGTCCATTATCAAATGCTTTTGGGCTCAGTCTAAGAGAATTCTAATTCTGAAGCCCAACCAAACATTTCTGTGGTCGCCTCTTCCTGCCGGCTGCCAAACTATGTCATCGTTTTTGTGCCACTGTTGTTTGTTTGTTGTGTCACAAACACCCAAATTAAATTTAGAGAAAACGCTTCGCAAATTTCCAAACCAACGAAAGCGAGAGATGACGTTAGTTTTACCGAGTCGACTAGAGTCGTGAGCTCCCATTGGCCCAGCTAGCTAGCAGAATGCAGTACCAGCACTGCATCATATATATTAATATTAATATTAATATTATAGCCCATTATATTAATACTAATTAATTAATCAATTGTAGTTGCTCTACCTTCTAATCTGTAATTAGAGTATTTCTTAATGTGCTTAAATGTGTGAAAATGAGCTCGAAACCTCATTGAGAAGTTGCAGGTTTGCAGCAGTAGTAATGTAATGATGAAGGGAGCTTGGGAAAAGGCTGGCTGTATGCGTGTGGAAGTATCTCCAAATAGTTGCTAAGCTAAAACGATCCTTTCACTATATATCTTCTTACCAACCCGGCCAGTTAATTAACATTATCATCATATATATGCCAATGGATAAAGACGAATCATGCTTATACAGGAAGAGTATTGCACAAATTTCTTTCCTCTAATATTCCTCGAAAAAAAAACCATGAAAAAGATTCAATCGTGAACTATATACCACTTACTAACGCATCCCCTCAAACGAAAGCAATCATATATATGGGCTTGAAATTTGCACAGGTCCAGACACGTCATGTGCTTAACATAACAGATGTGGGTCATCGGATCCCGAACGCGAAACCTTTCTGTCACAAAAGGCTCTGATCCCGTGTAAAAAAACCCAGTTGATCGCAATAACCTCGAGTTGTTGAGAGATGTTCAGTCGTGAATCATATACCATTTACTAACAAAAGGAAGAAAACTCTGCTATCATATCACTCCTAAGACAGTGGTTAATACAATTTCTCTCAACAATTTCGAATTATTGGAACCAGTTCATGACTCATGATATAGTACGTATCAGAGTTGGTTTGTCTTTGAGGTGAAACGTTAAAGTTCTTAGACTCTCCAACATTAATCGGTAGCACATGGTAGGTGAATTTGCTCAAATTTCAAGTCTATAGATTGCATTGTATTTCTTCCTAGCTAGGGTTTTCGAATGGATATGACGACCACACACATTTGGTATATAGCTTGTGGCTGAATTTTTGGGGGGGAAAAAGGGTTTTCTTTCTAGAAGGTCCATCCCACAAAGAATCACACTTGACCAACACAATTCGTATACGTAGTAGAGGAAATGTGGAGTTGCAGTAGCAGTAGTAGGATTGAAAATGAGGGAAATCGGGACAAAGTCAGAGGTAAAGAGAGAGAGGGAGATGACAATAAGGAAGAAGAAGAAGAAGAAGAAAAAAGAGCCAACAAGAATGGCTGCCAAATGTTGCAGTCGTGTGGTTTGGTGGCCCCTTTAACCACTCTATTTACATACTCCCTTGCTCAGCATCATCACCACCGTCTTAAAATTCCTTTCACTTGATCACATTCACACACGTAACAAATAATACATACGCATACATAACTATTAATACGCACTATATAGCTTACAAAACTGTGTTTCGTTAACTTCCTCTTTTGTTGTGAAATTTAAATTTTCATTCTTGACGGTTTCATTGGTCGTGACTATAGTAGGGTGGCTCGTCGTGTAGTAAAAAGAGTCATCTCTTTCGCTTTTTTCACTTGTTGCGGAGTTGGATTTTCATTCCTGTGGTGTTTTCTCGCTTTCTAAAAGAGTGTATCTTTGATCTCTTGATAATACAAATATCTTTCGAGGGGAAGAAAATATATATACACCGCCTATAACGATCCATTCGAATAATCGAACAAATGTGTAAAAATTGGAAAATTTTGAAATCAAGAAATTAAATGTAACTCAAATTTATCAACCATCATCCCTTTCTCTTATAATTTATCTTTTGACAATTGTCTAAAAAGAGTTAAGAGTTGGCATATCTAGCTATTAATTTCCTTTCGAAAATATCTTTGATAACAATTTGTACAATTAATGATATATATGTATGTGTCAGCCATCTTCAGTATCGGAACAGGGGCCATGCATGCACGTGTATGTAACTATCAAATTCAACGAAGGAACTTTGACTTTAGTTTAACCTTGAGATTAAGAGAATCGGTGTCAATAGCATGGTGATTCAAATAACTCGAGTAGTTGACAGATATTCAATCATGGATCTTAAATCCTTTACCAAAACGACCTCTCAAATAATAAAAGTCCACTTGTGAACTTGAAGTTTGCAAATGTTCGAATATCAAGTACAAATACTTACCAAATGACGTATTTGAAATTCAAACACAAGACATTCCGATTATTGAAAACTCTAATACCGCGTGTCAAGAACCGCCTTTGATTCTAACCGATTCAATTACGAGTTTTATACCGTTTACTCACAATATAACGCCATAATTGTTTGTAAAAAAAAAATACTCTGATGAATAATTAATATAGGCTGGTTAGAATGTACGTCCTCATGCACTGGTTTTATTTGTTGGAAAACTTAATCAGAATGGAGAAATATCTTACATTTCTAATCTCAGAAAAAAATAATGATATGTTAAACCTATTTAATCCTTGTTTCAATATATATATGTTTCTCTAATGAAAGAATATTCAATGTATCTATTTGTAAGCAGCAGGACCGGCGTTTTTATCCAGTATATTAAACTTCTTTGTTTTCTAGAATATAATTAGTCAAACTCAGCAGCCGCCTGTATAAATTAATTCTTAATTTGTAAAATAAGGAGGAAACAGTGTGGAATTGTTGCCGGAAATTTAATTAAAAGAGAGTCAAGTGTAGATTTGATGCCTCAAACACGGAAACTAATTAACCAAATAAAAAAAAAACTGATTAAATTATCATCATATAGCTTAGCGTTGAATTGTGGTACTGTTCATGTATTCTTAATCATGTTTATTATTACATTCACGAGAGAATTAAGGGAGGAGATTAGTGGAATATCATTGGGGGAAACTGAGTGACTGGGCCGGTGTTGGAGTTGGGAGTGGGTAGAAATGGGTGAAGGTGGTTGGACAGGATCTTACAATATTATTACCCAACCAAATCTAAAAGAGAACCTTTCCATGGTGTAAACATGCACTCAATCATCTCTTCCCAAAATCATTTACCATTTTGTTTACATAGCTATGTGTACTTTACAATGGCTACAACCATCTTTGATGTTCAATATGAGAGTTAAAGACCTAACCTACAATCTAAATACAATATGATCAGAAGAAGGATACCTGTATATAAGTGTCCATCTAGGTGTTAATAAGAGCTAAGAGCTAGCAGATTCACGCGGAGTTTACGACAAAACGAACAATATCATACTGATGATGAGAAATGTTCGGACTCTACAAGTGGTATTACAGCCTGGTTTCGTATTATGGACGGTGGACTTCAGTTTAGTGGACCCTCTCGTTCGGCGTGGTCTCGGGATTTGAGTTCAGCTTCTATTTGGTGGATCACACAAAGATCATCATCTTGTAATTTGTTTTGTCGAAAAGTATAGTGATATAAGATGGTTTTGGGTGGATCAAGATAATCATTGAGGCGAAGACATGAAGTTTGTGGTCATTGAGTACTCGAGTGGAGGATTTTTAGGTACGTAATCCAAGTACCATATTGGAAATATAAAGAAAAAGAATCATTGTGTATAAGTTTATTCCATGTAGCCTCATTAAAATGAGGCCTTTTGATCAGAAGTTACATAAGAGCCAATCTGTGATGTCCGACTTGACTCAAAGCTAGTGAACACCATCATACTAATAGGGACTATTCCATCTCAACAAAGTGGTATCAGATCCTGGTTTCAATATCCAGATTCGGGTGATAGTACTTCAATTTGGTACCCATCATTTTGTGGTCTGATCAGAACTTCAGATCTGCTTCTGTTTGATGAATCAAAGAAGATCTATAGGAACCGATACTTGAGGGTTATTATTATAGATTTATATTTATTTAATTTTACTT